TAGTCTACAAAATTTTTTTATTTCACCTTCTTCTTCAGTTGTAATAGCTAACTAATGTTCTTTTTCTTTTGAAATATTTATTATTGTTGACTTTTTAACATTATATTTATTTACAAGATCTATATTTTTAATATTTTAATTTATTTTTTTTTTACAAATATCATATTTTTGTATGATAAAAAGAATGACTTTTTTTGTTAACATAATACTAACATAAGATATAAATATCTTTAATATAAGAGACTTTTGATATAAGAAAGGTTTTATAAATTTTAATCGAGAATTTTATAATAAATGCCTATAATATAAAAAAATCTTGATATTAGAAAAATTTTGACTAGTTTCAGAAACTTTTTTATAAACAATACTATATGTATAATTATTTTTAACCAAGCAATTTATACTATATACTAAATTTATTTTGGTTATTTAAAAAAATTAACAAAGTTAGATTAACTATTATACTAGTTAAAATTAAGTATAACTATTAATGTTTAATATAAGTAACTAATGTATAGAAAATTTTAGAAGATTAAATAAAAATGGATCTGATCTATTTGTAATATGATAAAATATATAAATAAAAATTATAAATAGTAATTATTAAAATTCTTTTTCTGAATTATAATAAAGATATATTTAATATTCATTAAACTTCTTTTTTTTTTATCTGTAGTTATTATTTTAACAGAAAAGAATTAGAACAAAAATAGTTGTATTGTAACTATTATTAAATAAAAAGCAAAAGAAAAAATTATTATAATATATTTAAGAATAATAAAAAAAAATTGCTACAATGTTTCAAGACATCAAGAAATACAGTATGATAAATTCAATAAAATAGCATTGTCTTAATGCATCCAATTTGGTTTTACAAAATAAACACTTATATGTGCATTATTTTAAGACAAAGACTACAAATCCAATTCAAAAATATTATATATGTTTATAAATGTTATATGCTATATAAGTAATAATTTTAAAAAAACTACAATTAAGATCTTATCATATTTGATAAATAACAAAAATGTTTACTTTTTAAGTTTGTAAATATTAACTATTATACTAATTTTTTATTTACATATTCTCTTTAAATATATGTCTAAATTCTAATTCAATATAGAATAACCTCTAGAAATGCACTTTTTCTTATTATTTTTAAAATGTATATTATTAAAACTTGATCACAAAAATATATATTTATAGAAAAAAACTTTACTATACAAAACTTTAAAGAAAAAATTTAATCTTATTTTAATAAATTCACAAAGATGGTTTTTATTTGATTAGTTAACTTAAATTAATGATTTAGAAAATTAATTTAAAACTCTGTAAGTTGTAAACAGATAAATTACTATTCTAGAAGTGCAGTAGTTCTTTATATAATATAAATTCTAAATATTAATATCATCGATAGAATTTTCAAAATAGATATTATTAAAATAATTGCTATAATTATCTATATTTCTAATTTATATAGTAGAAATCATAATCTCTAAAAAGTTCTTCTTTTATTGTCAGAATTATTTATCTTTGTATCTGTAGTTCATATTTTCATAGTATATCTATTAATATTATTTATCATTATCATTTTGTTTTAGGCTATATATACATTATAATTTTGTATTAAATAAGAGTGAAAAAAATATTGATTAATAATCAAATTCCTTATATAATAATGTTACTAATTAAATTTGTGATTAATCTATTTTCATGAATATGTAATTCAATTACATTAATTTTGACATTTACCAGTACTAAAATAAATTATATAACTCTGTAACTTATACATTAAAAGAAGAAGAAAAAGTTAAAGCATTAGCAAAAGTGCTAAAAAGAATAATAAGTATTTAATGAAAAGTAATAAAATACTTATTAATTCTAAAAACATCTTCTCAAGTCTTCTTAACTTTAAGTACTCAAACTAAGTCTTTTTATACCTTAATTGAAAGCTTATTATTATTAGAGATTAGTTTGAGTTGTATAGTATAGTTTTGAATATATTAGTATAGTTTTGAATGTATTAGTATAGAGTTGCTATTAATTTTACCTGCCAGTTATTTTGATGCAACTCATACTTTTTCAAGATGCATTATATGCACTTACAAAATTATACTAATTTCATATATTGAGTGTTTTTTAAAATTCAACATTTTATTGATAAAAATCATCACAAATAGAAATTTCAAAACTAAGTTAAAAAGAATCCATTTTAGTAAAGTAACTAATGAATTTTCTTTTGAAATTATCTACTTATAATTTTACTTTCAATAAAGTTCTAAATATACTAATCATTTTTTATTATAATATAATTTAAAACTCTATACAATGGCTCTCATGTGCATATAAATGTTTAAATTTCTTGAAATAAAAATCTCCAAATACTCCTATTTAATTTTATTATTGAACATTCATAATTAATTCCAATTTTTTAAGCCCCAACATATTTCAAAAATTTATTGACTTTGAAACCCCAATATAAATAATATTAAGTTTGATATATTGTATTAAATTTCTTTAACTGATTTGAGTAACAAAATAATTTTAACATAAATTAAATATTATTTCATGTATACCTGTCTGAAATTACAACTTCAAACATCTGAATTTGCACTTGACTTAAAATTAGATTTCTTGCAACATTAAGTAGAATTTTAAGGAAATGTAACTTCTGATACCTAAAGTTAAGTAGGTGCTAATTTCGAGCACAACATCTTTATAATTATTTTGGATGATGCATTGAAGAAAGTTATTTTTCTTAACAAGATTAGAATGTAAACTTAAGTCTTTTAGTAAAATTTCATAATGAACGTTTTTAATTAGGCCGCAGATGATTTTTTAAAGTTTTGAGCTATTGTAGTCTTGAAATTTGATTGGTCAGGAAATTACGTCACATGATAGTTCGTTATATAGAAATATGTACACATAGTCATGGGCTGGTAAAAAGATGTTCGGATGCGGTATAGAAAATTTTGCTATTTTAGTTCGGTATAACCAGCTTAAATAATTATTAAATGTTGATTCTGTTAAATCTTGTTCGTTGTAACCAGAGTTCGGTATAAACAGGTTCGGTATAGCCAGAGTCGACTGTATATATAATTATAATTAGATTTGAACACAAATGGTTACTATTGAAGACAAAATTATTGAACGCTCTCAGATGCGTTGTTTGATAGTTAAAAACCATTAGATTAAAAAAAAGGCACCAGATAGTACAGCGCGATTACAGGATTAATAAAAGTTATCGTTATGAGTCGGCCTCAAATAAAGTTCTTTTCGATTAATGGCGCTCTCTAATACGTACCAATAAGCGAATATTAAAGTTTTTACTAGGGCGACCTTAATTATAATATTACAAATATGGTTAGTTCGTCATAGTAAAAAAAACTTATCGTTATTAGCATTTGTCTTAAATATGATATCGGACTTATATTGGATTTGTCGGAATATCGGACTTTCGTCTTGAATTCGGAATTTAGGACTACTTATTAACCATTAGTATGATTAAAGATATTCTAGTCGTGTCTTTTTATTTTCGATAATTAGATCTTATTTTATTGGTTACACATCAGCAAATGATCGACTTAACGAAACGACTAAAATAATCCGTTAGAACACTCTTGTTAATCACAATTCTATAAATAAATTTTGATTTTGGCGACACTCAAATCTGGGAATTTCATGGCGATGAATTTGCCGTGATATGGTGATCGTCTGTTTACATCTTTTTGAAAATAGCCATAATTAATATACCGCTTTTCAGGAGCCGAACGTGGTGGGTACTATTTTCCTGTGCTAGCTATATATTGAGTGAGGCCAAAAAAAAAAAAAAACTAGCAATGGGCTTTCAAGTTTTAATTCAGTTTTGATCTGCAACATATACGTAATTATGTTCAATGAAGTACTGAAAATTTGATTAATCATACAATTACTCCGAAAAGCGAATAATGAGTACAGCCAATCAGTTCTTGGGGGAGAAATTAGTAAATCCCGGATTTATATATATTATGCCATGTGATATAACATGACATGGTGTTTTTATAATTAATCCGGATTTATTATACGGTGATAAAATTTAATTGGAGAAATATTTATTACTTATTAACTAGTAAAACCCAAAAAGAAAGAGCTCATCCTGAATCAGTGCAAAAACGAGTGTTTAAATCTGCATTGTGAACTAAAAATGAAGGGAATGAGACACTACTTAACCTTAATGTTCTAAATCCTAAATAAAAATCTTTGTTTCGGTTTGTATTGCTAGCAGAGATAAGTACTTCATTTCACCGTGTAAATAACATGCGTAAGTCATATTATGTTACTTTTTCTATCCGCAATACGAATGATTCAAACGTATGATCGTAGCTATAAATCGACTAATGTCATATCGGATCGTCGAATACTCGAAAGGCAAACGGTGACTTCTTATAGCTTCAAATAATTTCGGTAACATGCCATATAAGGTGGGTCCGATTAATAATCTCTAAACATTAATGTTTATACGTAAACGTAAATGTAAGTATAATAATTATTACCAATTTTATAACATTAATTTACGTACTAATTATTATTACTAATTTGAGAAGTCCCATCACTACCGTATTTCGCGAATGGATACCAAAAGATTTAGTCTCATTCTATTATTATCCAACCCAATTTTCTGGAATTTTAAACAGTCTTCCGGTTTCAGTTGATCAACTTCGATAATTTTGTAAATGATTACCCGTCTCTTTTCGTAATTTTATTATATAAAGTTAATTAGCAAATTCCTCTATAATGGTTTTTCAAATCTACTAAAATGCATCATAGAAATAAAACATTATAGTTATCTTTCAAAAATTGGTTATATTTCAAAAACTGGTTAAGTAATAGGTAGTGGTGCTCTAAAAAATCATTCACTAATCCTAATCCTACCTTTAAATTTTATAATATAAAAATACTTATATATCGTATTGAACGCCATAGGTGCATTTTATAATAATTATTCTTTAAGATAATAAATGATGAAATCAATTTTAAATTTTCGTGATGTTGGAGAACCTGTTGGAGCTAATGATCAAAATAACACTGAGTAAATGTTATATCTCACATTCTTATGTCAATATCTCGCATATCTGATCCATTTCCTTTTTTTGATTTAAAAGGGCATTAAAGAAAGGCCTGTTGTTTCGTAGTGCAGAGCCAGGTATTTGTTCCTTACTTCTATATATTGGGTAACTGCATCGATTTCAAAATTAATTAATTTATTATTACTTGTATATAAGATAAAGCAACTAAAGAGGATATCGAACAACTATTAAATTTTAATATCCACACAATTGTTGACTTGAGAGCTAGGTTCATATTTTTTTAATCTTATTTGCAAAGAAACTAAGCTTAAGCATAAATTAAAATTATATTTTCTTATTTAAATTTAGAAAATATGAGTCTCAACAAAAATCTACATTAACAACAAATTTCCCGATGGTCAAATACCCTGTTAAGGTAAAAAAAAAAAACAAAAAAAACAATCCTAATTAAAAAGTCTACAGGATTCGCCTATCATGCATGATAGTTACCTTCTTAATGCATAATGTCAACAAAGTAATTCTAATTTTTTTTTAGCGTGGAGATCATACAAACTGCACGATTAGAAAGACTGTCAACATTAATTTAATGGAAAGGAAGATTCGCAGAAATTATATTTCTAAGACTTCTTTTTATGACAAACTGTAAGTCAAAACTTCTTCCAAACTGCATTTTTTTCTCTCGAAATTTTTATGTTCAATGTCGCTTTCGTTTCAGAAAAATAATTGGATATCTTGCCTCTTGTCAAAAAATGAATGCTGTAAGAACAGTGTATCGTCATTTGGTTCCAAGAGGATTAACTGGGATGTATACGGACTGGTTGAATTTCTCTGGTGATCAAATTTGTAAGGTATACGTACTGTACATACATACTTAACTAGATGTTTATCGATATTTAATTTGAATTCATAAAACAAAAAAAAAAATTAGGTTCTTGAACTTATGACAGACGAAGCAAATTTACCAATTTTGATTCATTGTAAACATGGAAAAGATCGTACTGGTGTAATAGTCGGTAATTTTTTATGTTTTATAACTGTTTACCTATATTCAAATTTAGATAATGTTATTTATGTTTGAAATGATAGCCCTCGTTCTTTCTATCTGTGGCGTTGAAGAAGAAACAATTGTTCATGAATATTCAGTTTCTCAAGTGGGTTTAGCCAGTATACATACTTCAGTAGTTGATGATTTTAAAAAACTTGGATTAGCTGGAGAGTTTGTCTCCGCACCTCCTGATGTAGGTTATTGTTTCTTGAATTTTAAGGCTAAGTCTTTTATTCATATTTATTAATATTTTATTTAGGCAATGAGAAATATGTTAAAATATATTAAACAGAAACATGGTTCAACAGAAAATTATTTAGTTGGAATTGGTTTTGATTTAGATAAACAAAAATTAATTCGAAAAAACTTTTTAATTTAAATAACGTCAACGTATAAAACTCTTAGTGAGTGATATATAGAGAATTACTATTCGCACCATGGTGACTAACATTATGAAAATCCATTTACCATGATGCAGTTCCCGATATATAATACTATATCTAATTTTAAACTGTTAATAAATAATATTTCTACATAAAGTTTTTCTTGAATTTAAATGTCATAGCCAGCCCTACTTTATGTAAATGCTTGATTTCATCTTATAAGTGTTCTATACATTTTATTGGTTAAAAATTTAAATTTTAATTAAATAATATTTTGTAATATATAATACAATTAATGATTTATTTACTAGAAAAACAGATACTGTTAAATGTTTGATATTGAAAATTTATTAGAGTTATTAACTAAAAGATGAACAAACAAAATAAATAAAGTGATACATATAAACAAAATTTTGAAAATTAAACTCATTAGTTAAAAGTAAAAAGTTAATTATTAATTTGCATATTAATATTCTAAGACCTATTTTTTCTTATTTTGCCAATAAATTCAAAACAATATACATCTGAACAATCTTTCTGTACTTAAAAATATTCAACTATTTTCATCATTACATAAATTCTCTTATATAAAAAACTGGGATATCCTATTTATCATTCATTATTTTATTAAAACAAAGTCTCTTAATATTTCTTTTTATAAAATCAAATCTCATTCTAATAATTCTTTTTACAATCAAGTTGATCTTCTAGTCAAACAAAATACTAATATATATTAAATTATATTGAACTTTAAAACAATATTTCCTCTTTACTTTATATGATATAATTATATAATTCTTATTAAAACTTGTTCTTTTTTTCAAAATACTATACCTATTCAATTATTTCTTATTTGATCACAACTTAAATACTTTTAAAACTTATTTTTTATTAAATGATCTATCAATTTTAATATTATTAATTCATTTAATAATGATCAAAAATTCTATTCATTTTAACTAAAAATTATTAATAACAATTTATCAATTATACAAAATCTTAATATATATTATTTCTTATTATACACTATTTCAAATTATGTTCATTATTAATTAATCAAAGATATATCTAATTTATTAATTTGTTTTAAACAAAAATTCAATCTTCAACAAATTCTTTATAGCTTAATTACAAATATTATCTAATAATTAAATATTTCTACTAAAATTATAAATACTATTTTTATATTACATTATTTTATTATCTTAATACATTATTGTATCTTTATTTTTTGAATTTTATTCAAGGTCTCTACCTTATATTTCTATATGACAATATTAAAATATTTCTTTCTAAAACAACATTATCCTTTCTTATAACTTTATCCAATGTCTTTCTTAATTGATTCTATTAACAAATATAACTATTATATAATATTCTTTAACAATAATGAAAAAAAATTTGTAATATAATTAACAAATCCAAACATTCAAAAATTTACTCTTTAATTTTTACCCCTTAATCAACATTTAATACCTTAAATACATCTATTATTAATCTTATTATATCTATTAAAAACTGGCTATTCTTAGCCTATTTATTTATTAATTATATTTACTAAATATCAGACTATTATTTTAGATTTTTTCTAATCTTTCTATATTTAAAATTAATTTGAAATAATTAATAATAGTATTATATAAAAATGGTATGTAATATTATATTGGGTGTCTTAAAATAAGTAATACAAATATTATTTAAAAATTTTTAATATAATTCTTTTATTACTTAATAAAGTTTCTATTTTGAAATTACAAAAAAAAATCCTAAAACCTATAATAATAATTTAAATTATTTTTAAGTTATTTAATAATTTTAGATATCAAATCTGCTATAGAATGAATTTACAAATATGATATATCTATAAAATTTAATGTAATTATACAATTTTATTCTAACTTAACTTACACTAAATTTAAAGTATTTTTTTCTTTTTTACTTGTAATTTCATCTAATATTTTATTAAATATCTATATTGATAATATAACTACAATCAAAAAAAATCTTAACTATTATCTTCAAACCTATATAAATTAAAAATTAAGATATTATTTATTATATCAATTATTTTAAATACTTGAAACATATTACTATTATTTTTTATAAAATTATATTCTACAGACTCCTTTTATAACTAAGCAGTTTTATTTGTTAAATAAGAAATTACAAAACTTATTATTAAATTTAATAATTTAAAATTTAATACTTCAAATTATTTTATATAAAAAGACTACTTATTTTTTTTAAAGTTTATATCTTTATTAAAAATACTAGAACTATTCAGAAAATTTTCAAATACTTAAACTTAAAATTCTTTCAAAATATTACTAATATTAAATGAGTACTTAAATTTAAAATTATTTTTTTTTATTTGAAGATAATCTACAAAAATACTTTTTTTGTATTAAAATTTTTATTAATAACTTATCTATTATGTAAAATTTTAATATTTACTATTTTTATTTTTTTTATTTTTTTTTTTTTTGGTATTAAGGTGAGGCCTTGCTTATATCTTTATTAATAATTTAAAATAGTTACATGTA